AGGCAAGGCAGCACACTTGTTTGCCTTCCCAGCCATGCAGAATGAACTCCGTGGCACAAAGAAAGACGTCATAAGCAGTCTCACATACTGAGAGCCGCAGGGAGCACTTTACTGAAGTATCTCAATTAACCGTCTTTTCTTTTGCTTTCCTTACTCTCTCTTCTTTACTTTCCCCCTTTGAGACGGGGTTTCTCTGTGTAGCCTAGGCTGTTCTGGAACTCCCTTTGTAGACCAGGCTGGCCTTGAAGTCACAGACATCAGCCTGCCTCTGCCTCCCAAGTGCCTCCCCAGCCTTGTCCAATCTGGGTGCTAAGGATTGAGCCCAGTGCCTCCAGCAAGCTCACCATGACACTCTCTGAGCTACAAGCCCAGCCCCCAACACCTTCACCGCACATGACAACTACTGAGGTGGTGGGGAAGCCAACTAATTTGCCCAAAGTAGCTTAGTTGAAAAAGAGAGGTAAGTTCTTAGGCACTAGAATCCAGGTTTGCACAATCCCATTATATTTTACTCTCTGAGTATAAAATGGAAAGATTACCTGTCAAAGAATCACAAGGTAGAATGTTCTTTTCCATAAATGTTGAGAGCCTCAAGAATGTTAGACATTACAGTTAAAACATTTGAAACCCGGAGTGGCGGCTCATATCTATAATTCTAGCACTCTAGAGGCAGAAGCAGGTGGAGGCCAACCTGGGCCACAGCGTAAGACCTTGTCTGAAAAACAAAACAAAACACCCCTAAATAATCCTATGCCCAGAAAGCAAAACAACAAACGAGAGAAATCGACCTGTAATCTGTTATTTTAGAATTCTGATTTTAATTGCTGTACAAACAACTCCCTGATGGAAGTTCGGTGACGACTCAATCTGAACCCTCATGAGAAGGGGTGAGCACAGCACAGTAACTACACCCCATCCTCCCAGAGCCATCCTGAAAAAACTAAAATTTCCTCTGGCAGTGGTGGTGCGTGCCTTTAATCCCAGCCCTAAGGAGGCAGATCTCTGTGAGTTTACTACACAGAGAAACCCTGTCTCAAAAAAACAAAACAAAACAACAAAAAAACCCAACAAAACAAAAAGCTAAAATTAAAACTTTTTTTTTTTTTTTGAGACAGGGTTTCTCTGAGTAACAGTTCTGGCTGTCCTGGAATTAGTTCTGTAGATCAGGCTGACCTCAAACTCAAGAGATCCACCTGCCTCTGCCTCCTGAGTGCTATTAAAGGTGTGCACCACCACTGCCTGAAGTTTTTTGCATTTTTTAAAAGTTAAAAAAAGTAAAAGAACAAAACACATTTCATAAGATGAAAAGCACATGTAAGTCAAATGTCAATGTGCACGAATAAAACTTTATTACAACACTCACGTAGACACATTTGTTTACATATAGTCTGTGGTGGATTCTGTTAAAGGAACAGAACAGTTGAGAAGCTCTTGGTTGACTTAGGCACACACACAAAAAACTAAGACACTTACGATCTGGGCTTTAACAGAAATTTTGCTGAGCTGCTGTGTAGGGTTTACACATTCATGCCCAATTTTTACATGAGCCACCCCCTCCCCATGTTTCTGAAAAAAATTTAAAAAGTTTTTCCCCAAAAAGAACACTAAGGGTGCCTTCCTATGGAAAAGTTGACATCTTACCCCTTGGGATGATCTGAACCCTTGGCTTACTGTTCCGGAGACCCGATGGTGCAGCTGAAGGAAGTACACTGGTTGGTTACCCAAGTGCTGAAGCTGGTCTCTGTACACAACTTGTTCCTCTGTTATTTATCTTGACTGCATAATAGGCTGAGTTTCACACTATGAGTTCATCCAGGCTCCTTGAATCATTAAGAGGGTCTTTCATTTTTACTTTTAAACTCTTAACACTTTCTGCTGTGAATTCTTTTTAACATAAACTACGACTTAACGGCCTATATATGTAAAATAAAGTTCACTTTTTTTCCTTTTAAGCAATCAGTTTTATTTTTTTTAAAATGCTTTCTCTTGGGAAGCTAAATTTAAATTTTGCAGCTCATAGAAGAACATCTCTTCATATCCAGTGATCTCAGAGTCCCTCTAGTAAGATAAAGAATGTGCGCTTATTTTTAAATACTATTTCTTGGAGAAAATATTACTTAATGGAAAAGATGTGACTAGTAACAAATCAAGTCCAAGGCTCTTCCTGGTTCTGCCTATGACTCACTTTCACTTTGGGCGAAGCATCTCACCACTGTTGCTCTTCATCTGCAAAAACTGGACTTCATGCCTATGGGAGTTGCATGGTTAATCAATGCCTGGAAAATGCGTAGTGGCAGATGCTACAGAAGTGCTGAGCCTTAAAAACCAAACCACCCCCAGCCCCCATTTGTATTCCGTCGAGGTTGAGGTTTATTGTTATTTAACAGAGGAAAGCTAACACTACGTTAAGTTCAGCATGCAGCTCAGAACAGAGATCAGTGTCCAGATGGGATTTTTTTTAAGAGCTAGGATATTTTACTTTTTTTTTTTTTAATTGTGGTTGGGTGTTATTTTACAACCCAACAATTCACTCGTGCAAAAGTATTAAGTTTTAAGTTGAAAACTATTGATTTAATAATTTAAATGAACCTCCTCAAAGATTAAAAAAAAAAAAGAGGCCCTCCCCTCCCCGCCAAGAAATCTCTGAAAACAACAATTCTTCTAATGTCGCCCACCCCCTGCAGTTCTCCATGTTACAGTCCTTGGAGGTGGACCAGGCATAAAATACTTTCACTAATAAAATATGACAAACCGCCGGATTATACGTGGCCGATTCTCAGTGACTGCCCTGCTACACAAAGCAGAAAAGTAAATGCCATCATCCCCCTTAGAACAAAAGAACTTAGGAATAAAAAACATGGAGAGGGGGGCAGAAAGCAGCAATAAATAAAGGTGAGCGAAGAACCCCGTCCCCCGCCCCTCCCCGGAGCTAGTGTGGGACTCCGCACGGCTAATAAAGTGGTTCAAGGGTAGTTATTTGCAAAGGGGGCGGGGTGGCCGGGGATGGCATGTTGCATTCGACTTGAGCTTGCATCTTCTCCTGTTGCCTGGACCACTCGCTCCCCCATTGCAGTGCTTCCTCCTCGCTTCTGCCTTCTTTCCACCCCCACCCCTGCAAACTGCTGTTGCACTGGTGGGAGTTGGGGCTGCTCGGGAGCCCCCTAGCAGCTCCCGATGGCGGGAGGGGACCGGGGCTCGGGCCTGGCCGGGCTGCGGCGCGGCGGCGGGCCGGGAGTTTGGCGGCCGCTCGGCCCCAGCGCCGCCGCCGCTGCACCGGAGTTTGGCTGCTGCTGCCCTACTTCACTCTAGTTTAGTTTCACTCACTTTACATCCGGGTTTTTTCCCTAGGCAATGGGTGCCGCAGCACACCCCGTTCCTTAGGCAAAGTGAAATAAATTCGCCGCACCGACACGTCAAGTAGTCCGCCCGCCCGAGCGCCGCCGCGGGCCCCCGCCGCCGCCCCGTGCCCCCGTGGGGTCCCCCGCGCCTCCCGCCAGCCACGGGCTCACACGCAGGGGCGCGGGGCGGCCGGGCCCGGCGCGGTCCAGCTCCGCCCGGCCCCCGCCCGCCTGCCCGTTCTCCCTCGTCCCCGCTTCCCCAGCCCCAGTCCCTCTCGCCCGGCTCTCGGGAGCGGCGGGGGCGCGCACGGCGGCGGCGGCGGGCCGGCGGGGCCGCGCGGCGGGCTCCCGCGCGGGCGAGTGTGTCTGGGCCTGGGCGGAGGGATCCCCGGGCTGAGGCGGCGGAGGTGCTGCGGCCCGGGGCCGGGTGGTGAATGGGCTGGTGGTGCTCGCTGCTGCTGCTGAGAGGAGGAGGAGGAGGATGAAGAGTTGGGCTTGTTTGTCTCCCACAGTTTCTCTCCTGCTGCTCTGATTCCTCCCTCCCCATTCCGGCCCGGGGCCTGTGTGTGTCTCTCCTGGAGGAGGAGGAGGCTCCAGTTCCTCCCCCCACCCCCTCCTCCCCACCCCCCCTTGCCTGGGGAAGAGGAGGAAAGAAACAGCCCAGAGAGAGAGAGAGAGAGAGAGAGAGAGAGAGAGAGAGAGAGAGAGAGAGAGAGAGAGAGAGTGAGTGAGTGAGTGAGAGCGGAGAGGAGGAGGAGGAGGGAGAAGGGAACAACCTACCATCTTAACACACTAATATCTAAAAAGTGCGAGAGGCCCAGAGCAGCAGCAGAAGCAGCAGCAGCAGCTCCAGCCTCTTCCCTCCCTCCCCATGAAGAAGAGTTCCCTCCTCCTCCTCCTCCTGCTTCTCCTGCTCAGAGTTCCTGCCTCCAGCTGCCAGGGGGGACAGCCAGCCAGCAGCAGGAGGGTGCAGTATCCCAGCTTTTCCATTCTCTCTTTTCCTCACTCTCCTCTCTTTTTTTCTTGAGTAGCTCTATTTCCCTTCCCTCCCCCCTCCCTCTGTCTTGTCTCTGGTGTTTGTCTCTGGGAAGGAGCAGGGGCTGCTTGCTTGGAGTTTGTTGTGGGGGGGAGGTAGGGGGAGGGGAGGGGTGTGTGGGAGGGAGGAGGGAAAGGGGGTGTTCTCGTCAGGACCCCTCAGTCAACTTGAGATTTCAGCAATAACTTCCCCTTCGGGGCGGCCCCCTGCGTGCCCTTTTCCTATTCCTCCCCCCCCCCCCAGGAAAAAAAAAAGACAATGGGAATACCTCGTCTCCCCCCCTTCCTCCCCTCTGCCCTCCACCCCTCCCTAGGATAGATTGGAAGTAAGTTTATGATCAGCCTCGGGAGCCTGGGCGCTGAGTGCAGGGCCGGAGCGGGTGACAGGGGCGGCGCGTCGGGGGTGGCGGCGAGGGGGCAACACAGCGTCCCGGCGGGGGGTCGAGCTGGGGGGGCGCGGGCCGAGGGCCCCCCCCCGCGAGTGCCTGCGGCCGGGGGATGGCCGCCTGGGCCCCTTCCCCACCCCCACACCCCGGGATGCTGTCGGGGGGAAGTTTTTATTATGGTTATTTAATTTAAAAATTTTTAAATTTTTTTTGGAAAACCATCTTGTTTGGTGACTGAGAGATCTGGTTTAAAAAAAAAAGAAAAAGCTGCGGCTGCTGACGCTGCCGGGCCCGAGTGTGTGTGAGTGTGTGTTGGTGCATTTGTCTTGGGTGGCCGGAGCAGCGTTGGGGAAATTCCGCTTATTCTTCTTCTTCTGCAACTTGTTATTCCGAGGAGTCCGCCTGCACCCCTCACCCCGGGGCGGCCCTCCCGCCGTCGCCGCCGGCCCGCCGCCCCGGGACCCCGAGCGGGCCGGGGACTCACAGGCCCCTCAGAGAGGGGCCGCGGCCGCCCCTCCCCCCGGGCCGCGGGGGGAGGGGCGCGCGGAGTGGGACTCTTTCCGTTTGGTCCAGCCCCGCGGTGCACGCAGTTCCCAACACTTCTCGTCATCCTCTCTCTGCTCTCTTTATTCTGCTGAGCGGTGCTGTTAGGATTTCTTTCTCTCTTTTTCCCCCCTACCTCCTCCTCCTCTCTTGACCACGCTCGCAATGGTGGGTAGCTGCAAGGTGGCCCTGGCAGGGGAGGGGTTTGATGTGGACATTGGGGCACCGGGCGAGAAAGGTCTCCTTTCAACTTTGTCTTGTGGCTTGCACCCCGGGAGGAGGCCACATGCCGATTGTGGGGTGTAGATGTGCTGGGAGTGATTTCTAAGTAGTTTAGTTGTTGAGATAGGGTACGGCGGCTAATGGTAGGCAGGTTTTGTTTTCATGGGTGAATCCGGTGTCATCATATTCCGGTCATATGTTGAAATATTCTTTGTTTAGGTCTTGAAGTAGAGGATCTCCCTCTGCACGTCCACATTGTGTTGTTTTTGAATGATGTCTTCGGGAGTGTGGATCTCTAGAATCTCAAATGTGATTTTTAAGGTTTCGGCATGTGTGGGCCTCAGCACTGGCCTTGACAGTGAACTTTGTGGCTTTTTTTTTTTTTTTTAAACTTCTAAGATTTTACTCCATAGCTGGGATGCTAGTTATGCTTGATGGTAGTATCAGGAATGTAGAGTCTTGAGCTGAGGAAGTTAGAGAGGGAAGGGCATTTATTTATTAATAATTGATAGCTCAATGTTAGAATCAGATTCATTTGCACTGGTTGAAGGTTTTTTCCTCCCTTTTTCCTTTAAAGCAGTTGTGTACTCTAGGAAGGAAGCCTTTTGGCAGACACTCTTTATGGTGGCTTTTTGGGGGCATGAAGGGGGGGTATCGCCTTTTACAGAGATCTCTTCAGCATCATCTGTAGCTTTATCGAGGGCCTCTTCGTGGGGGGGGGCAAATTGAGGCTAAGAAGTGTAAGGCTACTTTTTGTTCCTTGTTTACATTTCATGTCTCGCATTGGGGCAGTGGAAATAAATAGGTCAGCCCCCTCCCCCTTTTCAAAGTTTTACCATCTACTTGGTTTACAGCCTTGTAGGAAAGCCTTACTGAGATTTTCCTGGGAATACTGTTACTCATTTTAATTTCGGTAAGTTCCTTTCTATTTTCTTCTCTCTTCACTTGTGTATCTGTTGTGAGCTTAACTCTAGCTTTCTGAGGGCCATTTTACATGTCTTAGAGTACATTTAAAAAAAATTCAGGACATGTTTTGGTGGCAGAGAAGAATGTTGAGTGTAGTAATGTACATGTTTATTAAATTTTAAGTACTCAACTCCTCAGTATGTGTACTGCCATCCTTAACGTGAAGACTCTGGGAATAGTGCAGGACATTTTGAAAGCACAAGCCTCTGACTGAAGCTACCCAGGGGCTTTGAGACTTCCGATGTCAGACACAACAATGTGCCCCTTTTGACCGGCGTTATGTGCTTGCCTGTTCTGAAAATCTTTCTCTTTTCTTTTTTCTTAAGTGCTATTGAAGACATTTTCAACTTGAGATTTTAGTTGGCTTCACATTATTAAAGTGCTCAGACTTCGGACCCAGGCAAATCCGTATAGAGCTGGGAGAATAACACACTGAAAAGACACCTGCTGGGGCCATACTTTATTTTACAGGGATGTAAGTCATGGATGGGCCGCTATTTATTTCCTTTGGCTTTCATTGGCCAACGCTTGTTCCTGTTCCGTTTTCTGGAAGGAGCTGCTTCAGAAACATCCTTGTGTTTACACGAAGATTTCTGGTGCTATCCAGTAGGAGGCGCTACAAAAGTCAAAGGCAATCTCTAATTTTAAGGGTCTTGCTACTTACTGAAAGTCCCTTAGCTTATGAACAACAGGAGTAAAAGTCTGTTCTAAAATACTATTAATAAATAACCTTTGTTATTTGAAGTTGGCTTTTTACCTGCCTATTATACTATGCAGAATAAGTTTATTATTGTGGATGCTGGGGTTAAGAGTAGGGTGCTGTTAGGATTATTTTCTTTCAAAGGGGAGTTTTGGTATTTATATGTGGAGTGTAAAACATAATTTGAAAAAAATCCTTTCAAGTTGCAGTAAGCAAAAATAAGTGGCATGATGTGGGTCTTTAGGTCTTATAAGTATGATATTAGTATAAATAGGATATACAGACATTGTTGGAAAAAAATGGATATTGTGTGTGGGAAGAATCATTTTTTCTTGGTTTTTTTCCTCCCTCTCCCTGAATCTATGGACAGTGATTCTAATCTAGATGCCTTCTTAGACATTCAAGTTTATAGATACAGTTGCTATATATAATATAAATATATGTTTTGGCGTTTTGTTTGTTTGTTTGTTGTTTTTGTTTTTTTGGTTTTTGAGACAGGGTTTCTCTGTAGCCTGTCCTGGAATTCACTCTGTAGACCAGGCTGGCCTCGAACTCACAGAGATCCTCCTGTCTCTGCCTCTCGAATGCTGGGGATTAAAGGCATGCCACCACCGCCTGCTACAGTTGCTATATTTAAGCTGGCCTTCAAAGACTGATTTTTTTTTTAAAAAAACTATATGTGAAATTAAGTGGCGTGCTCTGTAATTCCAGTACTTGGCCTGTAATCCTAGTAGGCTTTTAAGCGGGCACTTTAAAAGTCAATGGCAGCCTGGCCTATATTATAAGACTTTGTCTCAAGAAAAATAAACTTGAAGAAAAGTTACACCTGTGGGAGTATATCTTTGTTGGCATGTCTATTAGTAACTTTTAACAATGCCTGCAGAAGGATAAAAGTAGCTACTTTAACATTTTCCTGGTATTCACAGTACATGGTCTTTTGAAATTCTTAGTGTTAGATGAATTGAGTCAAAATAAGCTACGGTGATTGCTTGTAAAGTTTTGTATCAAAGTTTTGAAACTTAGAAACACATAGAAAATTTGATGGGCCTGCTTTCAGTTTTGTACATGTATTATTGTATTTTTTTTTCAGCAAGATCAAATTAAATAGTACATGTGAAAGTTCTTTGTAAATTGTCAGAAGCCATGTAGACATTGTTGATGAGCTAGATAACAGATTCAGATAAAAGCAAAATTCTGCTTTAAAATGCTAAGTTCTTCTGTATCAGTTAGGGAATTAATGCATTAAGAGTACATGCTAGATATTATGTATTTTGTTTTTAAACTATTGCCCTGTTGGCCGGGCGATGGTGGCACATGCCTTTAATCCCAGCACTTGGGAGGCAGAGGCAGGTGGATCTCTGTGAGTTTGAGGCCAGCCTGGTCCACAAGAGCTAGTTCCAGGACAGGCTTCAAAGCTACAGAGAAACCCTGTCTCGAAAAACCAAAAAAAAAAAAAAAAAAAAAAATTGCACTGTTACCCAAATCTCTGCTACACTTTTGAAGCTTTGTTTGAAAAAGAATGCCTGTGAGATGGTGGCGTAGGACTTTAATCCCAGCACTAAGAGAGGCAGAGACAGGCCGATCTCTGTGAGTTCAAGGCCAGCCTGGTCTACAGAGTGAGTCCCAGAACAGAAACCCTGTCTTGAAAACCCAAAACATCAAAAAAAAAAAAAAAAAAAAAAAAAGAAAGAAAGAAAGAACGAAAATGCTGCTTAGGCAGTTTTCCATAATTAAACAAAATCACTTTTTCCTTTTGAAGACAGTATGAAATGTATGTCTCCTATTAAAAGTTTTCTTCCTTTTTCTCTTGTGTGGTAGTAATTGACTTTAGTGAATATTTAAGTTCCTGGACTCTTTGTAGACTTTTATTAATATACAGAGTAACAGATGTCCTGCTGAAGTTTTGACTGACTAACTCTCTGAAAAGTGCTTACTTGTTTCCTAGTGAAATGGGCATTGCTGTGTATTAGTGTTACCTAAATATATATGCTATTTTTGTTTTCTCCTTTTGAAGGTTATATGAGGAGATGACTACTCAGTTCTAGAGGCTTAAATGCTTGTGTGTGTGTGTGTGTGTGTGTGTAAAAATAACCAAAAAGTGTCTTTCTTCATAGACTCTGCTTACAAATTTGGAATAATAAATGACAAGTAGGGTTAATTGGGAATCCTTGTGTTTAGGAGTGTAGTGTTCTGAATTTTATAAATGAAATAGTCCAAGTTAGAAAGTAAATAATAAAAACGTGCTTTTGGGAAGGGCGAGAAAAGCATTAAACTGTTTAGATTACAAGGAAACCTCTCATGATGGTGGTAGCTTTTTATGCCATGGTGAACACTGAGGTTATTATTTAGTGAAGAAATTCTTATGTTAAAGTTACATCAGTGTACTTTTAAATTTTGTATACTTAGTGTTTTACTGCTGAAGGATTTTATGTTTAAGTTTTAGGTTTCTGACCTTTGCTAGAATTTCTTCATGTGTCTATTCAGATAGATGAAACATTTGAATTTTCATGTTGTTTTGTGCTGTTTTTATATTGACTTCTCAGGAGCATTTGCCTGTGACTTTTTTTTGTACCTAAGTTATCTTTAGAAGCATAGCAATATGTCTTGATCATATTACGTATATCAAGCGTATATTTTTGGCACTTTGGGATTTATCTTTAAGCGGTAGTTTGTTAATATGCATCAAACTTACTATAGATAATTATTTCTTAAAGGATTTATTTATTGTTATTTATGTGTATGTATGAGTGCCTGGTGCTGGAAGAGGCCAGAAGAGGTGTCAGACCCCTTGGTGCTAGAGTTATGGGCAGCTGTGAGCTGCCATGTGGGCGCTGGGAACTGAACCTAGATCCTCTGCAAGAACAGAACTAGTGCTCTTCCTGCTGATCCGTCTTCCCCCAGATAATTATTCTAAAGAGCATAGTTTCTTCTTTGTATGCTCTCACGTTCTATAGACTTTTAGACAATTCTTTGAATAGTTATCTGAAACAATGTTGGAATAGTCTTTTTTCTTTCTTTTTGAGGTGAGGTCTTGCTAAGGATTTCAGGCTGGCCTAGAATTTGCGGTAATCCTTGTGCTTCAGCTCCCTAAGTGCTGGGTTTGCGGGGATGAGTTACCATGCCCGTCTTGGGATAGGCTTTTAAGAACAACTTTCCCACCTGGCTGTGGGTTAGCGGTGAGCTTTCCCATGTAGACTGTGGGCTTCACTCATCCTTGCAGCCTTGTGGGAATAATTTTCATTCACAGACTCTGGCATTTTGAATCTACACCCTTGCTTCTCCTCCCAATACTCTGCAAGTCCCTCTCCTCTATTCCTCTTACTTTTATTCATTAAAAAAAAAAAAGAGTTCATGTACAGTCTCAGAAAACTCTTACTGTATATTGGATCCAGTAATGTGTAGGTGGAAGGGGTGGGGCCTAATAGTTTTATTTTGACGCTCTTTGTGGGCCTCAGGGAAAAACATAACTCAGACACAGGCCAAAAAGATGGGTTTTGTTTTATTGTTTTGGCTGCATTGAAAATACAAACTGTCAGTGCTTGAGGAACAGGAGCAGCAGAAAGGCATTGATTTTACTTCTCTGCTGCAGCTCCAGTGTTGTTAGCCATATGCATTTCTACAGTGGCATGCTTACAAATCAGAAAGCACTGATTTCTCTCTTTTTTAACATTTAAGTCAGTACCCTAAACTTCAGGGTAATAACAATAATTTCATGATAAAAGTGGGTGAGAGTAACCATGGCAACTGCTGTGTCTGGCCTTATGGACAGTCTTCAAGTACTTTAGTAGCCTGTCACTTTTATGGTGAAATGGGTTAGCACACACTGCAGGTGACTTTTAGCTGGATTGTGTTCATCTGTGCCAGCTTATCTCTCCTTGTTAGTTTCTTGGACTGTATTCCACAGCATCTTTGTGAAGGTACCGTTGCCTGAAAATAACCCACCACCTGTGGTAGCCTCTTGCTGTAGGCTGTACTTTTTTCTCAGCTGCTTTCCAGAGAGTCTTGGAGAATAGGGTGCCCGTAGGAACCGTATATACATAAACTGCAGTTCAGATTTGCCAGCTTCGCTTTGGACATGTTATTAGTAGCTTACACAGACTTTTGTATTTTTGAAGGAAATCTGTGAATGAGAGAATTAGGCCTTCAGTTGTTTTTTTTTTTTTCTAAGAATTTTGTACAGAAATGTGTGTATAGAATTAGAGGTGATGAGTGGTGGGTATAACTGTTAAGTAAGGGTTTGACAAAAG